GGGACAAGAGAATCTTTCCCGCGTAGGTACTTGGGGATGCAGCTACATACAAGATCTCAACAGAAGGTCCACGTGCAGCCACACATTGAGCGCATTGGCCAGAAATTGTCGCGTTGGAAAGGAAAGATGATGAACAGAGCAGGCAGGCTAACCTTAGTCACTACATGCTCTCTTCAATGCCTACTTACCATCTCACAGTGTTCCCACTAGCGGTGTGGGCCTGGAAGAAGATTGACAAAATCAGAAGATCATTCCTTTGGAAAGGAGAGGAGAACGCCAATGGGGGACACTATCTGGTGAACTAGCCGACGGTCTGTAGGCCCAAGGAGTTGGGGGGTATGGGTGTGCTGGACCTGAATAGGTTTGGTAGAGCCCTACGCCTCTGGTGGCTCTAGCAGGAGTGGGGAGATGATCCAAAGCCATGGGTGGGCATGGACATGCCGTGCAACGACATGGATCATCTGCTTTTCAACGCCTCCACTAGGGTCACTATTGGCGATGGCAACAGGGCGCGCTTCTGGCACCACAGCTGGTTAGAGGGAGAGGCGCCTAGATATTTGGCGCCGAACCTATTCAAACTAGTGCGTAGGAAGAATATGACGGTTCACCAAGAATTGAACAACGGTAATCGGATCAGATCACTACGCACACGCATCACTTTGACATTACAGGTCTAGGAGTTTGTTGGCCTATGGATCAGAATGTAGGGGGTGCAGTTACAACCCAACGTGCAGGAGACGATTACATGGAAATGGACGGCTGATGGAAACTACTCCATCCGCTCAGCGTACATGATTCAGTTTCGTGGATCACACCGGAAATTCTGGCATGAACTTATTTGGAGAGCGCGGGCAGAGAATAGGTGCAAAATTCACGCCCGGATCCTCCTACACAACAAAATTCTTATGGTGGATAATCTGCAAATGAGAGATTGGCCCCATTAGGACCATTGTATCTTGTGTAACGGCCCTTTGGAGATAGGGATACATTTATTCTTGTTGTGCCCCTTTGCAAAACCTGATGGGGATGGGGTTCCCGATCTTCCATCAGGTTCAAGATAACTATCGATTTGGGTGGAAAGCGACACACCGATCCGGCTTCAGATCACAAAGACCCGAACCCTGCAACCTTAGCACCACGTCTCCTCTGGTTATCAACCGTGTCACAATTCAGTTGACCTCACCATAAAGGCTAATCCCTGCTACGAATCGAAGAACACAAGCAAGAACAAGATAAAACGCAACTCTAGTATAGTGACAATTGTGGATATATGATTAAGCACTCGAATGTGAGGTTTCACAAACCGATATCGGTGACTGTTCAAAGACAGATTAATCTAAAGCAAAACCCAAACCCTAACATAGGCGGCGGCTACTGATTATATTGCCTAAGGGGCATCCAAGGACCCCTATTCACGTCAAGGAGTCTCGACACGTTACAAGGCCCAAACAGCCTGAAACACGGCGACGCAGCGCCCTGACAGATTCTGGACACTAACTTGTTTCGATGATTCCAGTTGATTCTGAAGCATTTTTAATGTGGAACCACTTCCATTGGTTACCTTATCAAATTATCTTTCCATCCATATTTGGATCGTCGAAAACGGAGTCCGTATGCGAGCTGTGCGTCCATTTTACTACAGACTGCTCTAGAGCCTGAGATGGACTCGAACTTCACATGGATTGGGTCTCCAACTTGGCTTGGACGCCCTTGCTTGCCTTCTAAGGTGGTGGCCAAGGAGGAGGACGTCCTTGGGCATCTCTAAGGTGTTCTTCATCTCCTTGGGGCGTGCTCCAACTTGGGCTAGAGTCCCAAGGATGAATATCAGGCCCACGACAATGACACAGCTTTTGGCAGAAACAACGGCAACTTGTTGTGATGGTTTGGAGGCCATGCTGATGTGATATTGAGGTCAAACCAGATCCATTTGATCAAGTGCTCTTCAACCTCAAACTCACTCCGGATGAAGGAGTTATGGCCTTCCCAATGAAGTAGTGTCGTGCTGCCGGTGAACCAAATGTTCAACTTTGATGGATTTGCACTTTGAGATCGGTCTTGTTCATGGCATATCCATTCTCTATCATCTTCACCATTGTTCCTAAACACATTTGGAATACCAATATTAGGTAGTAATAAATTCTTAGTTTTATCACTATGCAAACATAGGAACGAGCTCACCTTGTCTTTAACTTTCACGGGCATACCCATAGGTGTCATGTCCTCATCAAAAGCCATGTGAGATCAGGTGCTGACTTGGGAAAATTTATCTGTGCAACTCCCACAGCAAGACCCTGCCTCCTTGACCGAATGGTGGGAAATTGAGGCTAGCAGGGTGCCAAAGCAAGATTGTAGGTGTTTCAATGGAATTGTTATCTACATCATGTGGAATCTGTGGAAGGAGAGAAATAGGAGGATCTTCATAAATGTGTTCCAAACGGTGCAGCAGGTCGCATATTCGACCAAAGAGGATATAGTGCAAAGACATATGGCTATGAATTTTGGTGTGGAGGCCAACTAGCAGTGAGGCGTCTTTTTCCTCATTTGGTGTTAGGACCATGGTGTTAGGCACCTAGGGTGCAAAGTGTACATAAAACTCTTTTTCTAACTTAATTGAGCGGCAGAGCTCCTGCCATTTCTTTCAAAAAATGGTCCTAGTATTGATAATCCCCCTGGTCCTTGGGTCTACACACCATCTTCCATTTGGCCATGTGATATTTAAACTTGTCTTGGGCCCCTTGCCACTGGAAATTAGATCTGATGAAATCTATTTTTTTTTATGTACTCCATCCTATTACCAGTAAAATCCCATACAATAGAGAGGAATACTGCTTAAGCGACTGTGTTAGTGAGGATCTGTCTGCCCCCTGAAGTGAGGTGCTTCCCTTTCCAAGGGTCCAACGTCTTTTTTTTCTCGAACGTGCCGTGTAGCATGTATTTCATTAAGAGGAAGTAGACAACACCGAACCAAACAACAACGACTGGCCGGTAATCCTAAAATTACCAGCACAATCCCACAAGCACAAACGATACAACAAGAAAGCACCGGTGGGGGAGGGCCTCCACCACCAAACCCTTACAGACTGAGCCTATTACAGGAAGACAAAAATACATTGGTAGCCTAAGGTGTAGTGTAGCCACGATAGCCAGCATCCACCAAGGAAGCCAAGAGAGTCGGCACGACAACAGCGGCAAAGCATCCGCACGAGAAACGACCACGGCAGCCAAGCATCCGCCGGAAAAGGACCATTACGGCAAAGCATCCGTAATGAGGGCCATCACACGCTCAGCAGCTGAATGAGCGTGGAGACCGAAGCGACGAGGTGGCCAAGCATCCACCCAAGCAGCAACAGTGGCAAAGCATCCGCCAACGAACCGAACTACAGTGGCAACAACAAACACCGAAGGACAAACCAATGTGAAAATAGAGTTGAAGCACAGATAGGCACAGCAGAGCAGGCAGCAACACCGACGATCGACGCGCGGGTAAGAGATTTGTGGCAGCCGGAGTGCCCCAAACGAAGCCTTCAAGAAGGGGATGACATCCGCGGATGCCAACAACGTTCGGAGAAGCACGGGCAGGATTTTCATCCAAAGCATGAACAGAGCTTCAGCGACACCTTCAAGAAGGTAGGTGACGCGTGCTGCGCCAACGCCGCCATCCCAGATGAACACCCAAGCCGCATAGCCGATGGCACCCGCCCAAGGCCACGGTCGGGCCGAACTGGCCGCCACAAGCCTCGGACGGACAGCCGGCCGCCGGCCGCCGCGACGCAGGAATCCAGGCCACAAGACCGCCCGTCCCATGCCGCAGCGGCAGTGGAGAAGCAGCAGCACCTCTTGGCCTTGAAGAAGCAGCCTCTTGGCCTTGAAGAAGCAGCCAGGTTCCTCCAGCCACGCCACCATGGCGCCACTGGTGCCCCTGGTTGGCTATTGCCAGCCACACCACCACGGCGTCACTGGCACTCGTCCAAGCAAGCCGTTGTCAGCCACGCCACCACGGCACAGCCGATGCACCTCTGCAGTCGGTCGGAGTGGGAACACACCATGACAACGCCTCCAAGGAGGAAGACGACGCCCAAAGGCATCGCCGTCGTCTTGCCGGCAGATCCGACATGGCTTTCGCCGGTGGTCGCCCACATCGAGCACAAACAAAACAGGGAGCCTTGAAGGCACGCCACCCCTGCCCTCCACCGCCGCCCCATGCCACATCGCCGCCCGCACCGGCGAGTTCCGGCCGGATCCGCATGGACGGCAGCAGCTGCAGCCGCGGAATGGCCGGATCCGGAGGAAGGGGAGCTGCAGCAGCCTCGCCGCCACGCCCGTGTAGGCGCACGGGCCCCTGCCGTAGCCACAGCCGCGCCAGCATCGACGCCCTGGCCTTCGCCGCCGCCGTAGCCACGCCACCAAAGATCCACGGCAGGGGGCACCATATCCGCGCAGGGCACGGCCCGCGAACGCCGGAACGACCGGAGGGCGGAGGCGGCGGCAGCGACGGCGCCACAACCCCGCCATAGTCACCCGCGTAGCCAGAAAAACGCCCCGCCACTACCCTCCTCGCGGCCACCGGTCATCGGTGGCGCACTCCGGCGGCGGCGAGGGGAAGGGGGTGGGGAGGGGGAAGCCCGGTGGTGGGGGGCGAGGGGCTCTGCCCGAGCCGCCCAGGCGGGCGACGCGGGGGTGGGGAAAGGTAATGAACTTACAAGCTATTATTACAATTCCCAAGGGTCCAACGTCTTGCCGGCAACACTGCAAAGAGCCAAAGATCACGTAGATTTTTAGATGGAGAAATTAAAGCTTATTAAAAACATAGTTCTGGCGCCAATATATACATGCGCAGAAAGTTTCCAAGATTAGACCGAGTAAATTTTTAGATGGTTTCTAAGGTATGACGCGATGAATTGTTGAACGGTGGTAGATAAGAGGACTGAGCAAAGCATGACCATCTAGCCGGCAGGTGAAGACCAAAGAAGCACGAGACGTCAGCAGGTTGGCCTCTAGCCATGGCGAACGCCGTCTCCGGCATCGTCCTTCTGCTCGTGCTGGGCGGCATCACGCTGTTCCCGCGGGCGACCGCCGACGTATTCTGCCACAACCTTAAACAGGTCGCCGGCACCCTCCCCAAGAACACCGCTTCTTCCCCGGTGCACTTCGCCACCACTGTCTTCGGCCAACCCCCAGACGCCGTCTACGCTCTTGCGCTCTGCCGTGGCGACGTCGACAACGACACCACCTGCGAGTAAAGTTGAAGAGAATATTAATCTACATTAATAGATATATAGGGATTACAACCTGCAGTTAGCCACAACCCAAAGAATGGTTGCCATGTTAACTGTTGTTGTGATGGTTGTAACGCCCAGCCTGGGAAGACGGCTAAGATCCACTCTACACGTTGAATGGACCACACCTGCTAATTAGTTCTCTTGCGCTTTCGTCCTCGCTTCATGCAAAAGGTGAACCGGAGTTAATTCCCTCCCAGGCTCAGGCTTTTAAATTGGTTCGGCTCTGCTTCAGCTTCCAAGGCGGTACTAATTCTAGTGCTACAGTGCTTTTACGCGGCTACAGTACTCACATCACCGTGCGCTGCAGTACTCGTCCATTCGGCCCAGCCCATAAGACCGGCCCAACTTGGCCCATTAGCGGGGTCTCACATACACCCACCCTTGAGGACTTGACGTCCTAGTCGAGGGCCGAACCAACCTACCCAAATGGGACAAATGTCCGGAATCGACTCTCTTGGCTCACGTCCATATTCCTAGCTCCCCGGTCCAAGTGCCATGCTCTCACAGGTCTTGCCCCACGTCCATATTCCCAGCTCCTCGGCCCAAGTGCCACGCTCTCACAGGAGCCATGCGCAACCTGTCCGAGCTCCCGGACCATATGTCCATGAAACCGCGAGAGTTGGCTTTGATACCATTTGTAACGCCCCAGCCCGGGAAGACAGTTAAGATCCACTCTACACGTTGAATGGACCACACCTGCTAATTAATTCTCTTGCGCTTTTGTCCTCGCTTCACGCAAAAGGTTCGAACCGGAGTTAATTCCCTCCCAGACTTAGGCTTTAAGCTGGTTCGGCTGGGTGTCCTAATTCAACCACTACAGTGCTTTTTACGCGGCTACAGTACTCGCATCACCCTGTCGCAACGGTACTAGTCCATTCGGCCCAACCCATCGGACCGGCCCTACTTGGCCCATTAGCGGGGTCTCACAATGGTGTAGGACGGCAGCAACGTTTCAGGCCTCTGTGTGCTGCTTATTAGCAGATGATCAGAACACGCAGTGCTTGCATTTGCATATACATGTACTTGGAGGGAGCTGAACTTGTTGACAGCGAGAGGGAAGTTTGACCAGCTGAAGTGTTGTTGGCGGCTGGAACCAGCAGTCCTAACCCCAATCTGACGAACGTGAGTTCTAGGTGGTGTGATCCGAAAATACGAAGTTGATGACGTGGCAGCTGGTTTGAATATGGAGTCTCATTTTAGATAGCCTGGTGGAGCAGTCTAGTTTTTTTTAGATAAAATTCATTTTAGAGAATAGCTAAATCACTAAATTCAAATATTTTTTTTGGCTAGTCTCTTGGAGTTGCTCTTAGGACCCTTTTGAAGTTGCCAAAGCCAAGTTCATGGATTCCGAAATAGCATTTGACAATAGAAGGATCTAGGTGACATGTACGAGCCTTACATGTAGGAGCCACGTCAATGCACAGTCAGTATGCCATGTTAGCGTACAGAGTGGGTTAGGATCCGTTTGGGCCTATATGATATCCAAAACCGAGTTCATGGACCTAGAAATAGCATTTTGAGAGTAGAGGGACCTAGGTGACAACTATTGCCAAGTTGAAGGATCGACCATGAATTTTCCTTGTACGAGAAACTATTTAGTCAAACATAAGGAGTCAGATTTATAGGTAGCATTTTAAACTGTTTGGAAAACTAAAAAAACAGATGGGTGAGTTTGCACTCACCTAAGGCCGCGTTAGCACAAACAGTAAGTTGAGCCAAATAATACTAAGCTCTCTGTATTATAGAATAGTCTTATGTTGGATGGCAATAGTATAATGCTAAGAATGTTAATATTGAAGTTCAAGTGAATTGTTCATCTTCCTTCATCGACTTAGTCATTTAGGTCAATTATATGTTGCGTAGTACGAAGTTCAATACTTCAACATAGTGAGAGGTAATAGGAAGTTATCAAAAGTCCAGTTTATCTTGAAACAAGAAAAAATCACTTTTTTTAAGGAGAATGAACTCTGCTTTACATCACTGGGGATACCAGTTTGTAAACGAAAAAGAACAGTCAAGAGCTGGACTAAACGCAGACACTAAAACACTTGACCAGGCATAAAGCCAGCAAAAGACTCCAGAATCAAATTTCACACACATCTGTCACCACCATTGTACTAGGAGTAAACTTCTCCATCCAGCTCATCATGATGGCGTCCTTGATGTGCAATAGCTTCTCCCTATCCGCTTCCTTAAACAAGATACTCCACTTCTGCATGAAGGATAAAGCAACATAGATGATGTTAGTGGGAGCTGTTGGAAATTTCTTCTCTATAGCCATCTTGCTCCTTGAGGTCCACAAAGCCCATGAGAAACATGTAAATATGAACATAATCAAACAAAGTGAAAGGGGCCCCTTGCCCTGCAGCCAAGTTTCAGAGAAGTCCATTAAGGACTTGGGGATAGAAATCACAGGAAATATTTCCTTCAACCTGGCTAAGTGACATTGAAAAAAGATATGATCAACCGTTTCTAGTTCCCCACGAAAGCAGCAATGGCCATCCCCTTTCCAACCCCTTTTCAGAAGAGATTGAGCCACTTGCAGTTTGTTGTTAAAGACCTGCCAAAGAAAGAATTTTATTTTCAATGGCATCCTGCATTTCCAAATAATCCCAGCCACCCTGCTGACCACCCCTCTGTTGGTGATAAATTTGTATAAGGACTTAGTGGAAAAGATACCCTTTCTTTCCAAAGCCCATGAAACTGTATCATGACTATCTCCCTAAATTTCAATTAGATTCAATTCTGCATAGAAATTCAGCCAACTGTTGTATTCATAAGCAGAAAGAGCCCTCTTGAAATCAACATTCCAATCCCCTTCTTCATAGCATTCTGCCACTGTACAGTTAGGCATCCTCACCATCTTATAGAGATCCTCATAACTGATCATCAGAGGGACCTTATGCAACCAAGTGTCTTGCCAAAATTTGCAAATTCTACCATCCCCTAATTTGAAGATAGCCCCCCACTTAAACAAGTGTTTGACTTTATGTAACCCTTTCCAAAATTGGGAAGAGCCTTTGACAGGACAAGAGAACCATATTTATGTAACACCCATCCATTTATTTAGCTTTGAGTTCGATCCATGTACTCAACTTATATCCAAGAGGGTGTTCCCTCAGACAAAAGTCCTCTCTGGAAAGTAAAAATACCACTAAAAATTAAGATTTTCCTGTGGTATTTTAAAAAACAGGTAACCCTTTCGAAAGACAATTTAGCCAAGAGGAATTGGCAGGGAAGTGTCAAATGTTGTCTTTGTAGTTCGGTTGAAACTATTCAACATTTATTCTTTGACTGCTACTTTGCACGCTTTGTCTGGAATACCGTGCATATCACATATGGAATTCAACCTCCCGCTAGTTTCACCAATATGCTAGGTTCCTCGCTACGTGGTTTAAGCCTAAAACATAGAAACTAAATTTTGCTGGGAGCTGCTGCGCTATGCTGGTCGATTTGGTTGAATAGAAATGATATGGTATTTAACAAAGCTAAACCTAATACATCAATGTAGGTTATTTTCAGGACAACGTATTGGATACGACAGTGGTCCATGTTGTAGAAGGAGGAGGGGAGACAAATGTTCTTTGAGGGATGCAGAAGATATGGGAGACGTTGATCATGGCCGTCTTCACGAAGTTCGGCTGGAACTTCATGAATCGTATTGAAGCTTAGTGTTTTGCTTTGTTCGTTGCACCCACTAGTTGGGATGAACTTTATTTCTTTTCCCTGGACGTGTAAGCCTTATGGCGTTGATGTTTTTCTATAGATGATAGAGGCTGGAACTTTGTTCCATTATCTAAAAAAAATAGCTTTGAGCACTCTGAACCATATTTCATCAGCCTGTTGCAAGACCTTACAAATCCATTTGACAAGCAAGGCCTCAATGATGTGGTGAGGCAAGATGCAGTAAGCTTACTAGTAAGAGACACGGCTGCCACCATGGTCTGCCTCCAAGAGACGAAACTGCACAACATGGACCAGGCTGTTGTGCAATGCTCGGTGGGTGCAAAACTCACAAACAATTTTGTCGTCCTGCCGGCTGCCCAAACAAGAGGTGGCATCCTTCTCGCAGCAAATGAGCGTTTCTTCGACCTCTCCAACCAGCACCTGTCCACAAACGCTGTAACGGCAACTTGCACGATGAGAGCAGATGGGACCTCATGGCAGATAACAGTGGTCTATGGACGGCACGCCGAAAAGCTCCAGTTCCTACAAGAGCTCAAAGCTATCCGCCTATCCCCAGGCCAGCACACGGGAGGTGGCTAATCCTAGGCGACTTCAATCTCATCTACCAGACGGAAGACAAGAACAATTCAAATTTATATCGTCGTCTCATGGGGACCTTCAAGCGGCGATTGATGAGCTGAATGTAAAGGAGCTAAGGCTCAATGGGCGGCGTTTCACCTAGAGCAATGAACAGGATAGTCCGACGCTTACAAGGATTGATAGGCTGCTTTGCACCCCAGATTGGAAACTGACCTTCCCAACATGCTTTCTCCACTCACTCCCCTCTCTCATGTCGGACAACACGCCGCTCCTGCTATAGGGAGAGATCAAACACTACAAAAAACCCTCCTTCCGCTTTGAAAATTTCTGGGTGAAGATGGAAGGCTTCAGTGAGCTTGTGGAGCAAATTTGGAAGAGACCCGTCCACTCGGTCTTGCCGCTCAAGCACCTCAACACGAAGTTGGCGAGAGTCGCTAAAGGGATTAAGAGATGGTGCATAGAGAAAATTGGGGACACAAGGCTGCAGCTGGCCATCGTCAAGGAAGTGTTGTTGCAACTTGAAGCGGCTCAGGAGAGCAGGGTGCTCACGCCCTAGGAGCTTCACCTGCGCCGACAGTTGAAGGCCAAAAGCACCAGCCTAGCCACCATCGAAAAATCAAGGATCAGGCAGCAATCCAAGCTAGCGTACATCCGAAGTGGAGACGCCAACACAAAATTTTTCCATAGCAGGGCTAGCACAAGATTAAGGAAAAACTACGTTCACTGCCTACACACCAATGGGGGAGTTGCAGTAACACATAATGACAAAGAGAAGGTGGTGGCAGATTATTTCTCAAATCAGCTTGGTTCGGTAGCGCCGAGGACGAGGACCTTCGATTGGAATGCACTAGGGTACGTCCCAAGAGACCTATTCATGCTTGAAGTGCCTTTCTCGCAGGAAGAGATAAAAAACATGATCAACTCCATGCCGTCTGATAAAGCGCCAGGGCCGGATGGATTCACGGGCGCCTTTTTCAAAACATGCTGGGAAATAATCAAGGAGGACGTCACAGCAGCGTTGAATAGTATGTTCATGCTAAATTCCCAAGGATTTGAGATGCCAAATTCGGCAAATATTATTCTACTTCCAAAGAAATCGGATGCAAGGCGAGTGTCAGACTTTAGGCCAATCAGTCTCATTCATAGTGTCGCAAAGCTGTTCGCGAAGCTTCTTGCAAATAGGCTGGCCCTCTCTTGGACTCCTTGGTCTCAAAATGCCAAAGTGCTTTTATCAAGAAAAGGAGCATCCATGACAACTTCCTTTACGTCCAGAACATGGTGTGAAGCATGCACAAGCAAAAGATGCCTGTAATTTTTTTGAAGCTACATATACACAAGGCCTTCGACACGGTTAGCTGGCCCTATATGTTGGAAGTTCAACAGGGGTTAGGTTTCAGCCCACGGTGGCGTGAATGGGTTTCAATCCTTTTCCGCACCGCATCATCAAAAGTGTTGCTTAATGGATAGCAAGGACCGGCTTTCAATCATAGGAGGGGGGTTTGACAGGGCGACCCTCTTTCACCCATGCTCTTTATTCTTGCCATGGATCCGTTGCAGCGATTGATGGACATGGCAACGCAGCAAGGGGTCCTCTCCAAACTACCTTTAGCGGCAGCAAGATGGAGAATCTCTATGTATGCCGATAATGCAACAATTTTCATTAACCCAACCAAGGAGGATCTAGAAGCCACCACGACCATCCTACATGAATTCGGCATAGTGTCGGGCCTGCACATAAACATACGGAAAAGCACAGTCCACCCAATCAGATGCCAAGATGTCGACCTTGATCATGTCCTGGCCTCATTCATAGGGACAAGAGAATCTTTCCCACGTAGGTACTTGGGGATGCAGCTACATACAAGATCTCTACAGAAGGTCCACGTGCAGCCACTCATTGAGCGCATTGGCCAGAAATTGTCGGGTTGGAAAGGAAAGATGATGAACAGAGCAGGCAGGCTAACCTTAGTCACTACATGCTCTCTTCAATGCCTACTTACCATCTCACAGTGTTCCCACTAGCGGTGTGGGCCTGGAAGAAGATTGACAAAATCAGAAGATCATTCCTTTGGAAAGGAGAGGAGAACGCCAATGGGGGACACTATCTAGTGAACTAGCCGACGGTCTGCAGTTCCAAGGAGTTGGGGGGTATGGGTGTGCTGGACCTGGACAGGTTTGGTAGAGCCCTGCGCCTCTGGTGGCTCTAGCAGGAGTGGGGAGATGATCCAAAGCCATGGGTGGGCATGGACGTGCCGTGCAACGATGTAACACCCAAAAATCTCAGTCTTTTGAAATAAGAAAATTTGATTTAATTATGTTATTATGTGCGCATTGAAATATAGGAAAGAAATATCTTTTTGTGAAAATAAAATCAAATATAAGGTTAGTAACATGTTGATGCATTCATGATGCTGCACATTTATTTTTGTAATGATTGACTTTGACTAGAATTTGAATTGAATTCAAATTCAACTTGAAAATGAGATTGGAAAATGTATTTGGAAAAAAGAAAAGAAATTCTTTTTCTCCTCCCCCTCCTTTCCTTGCTTTCGGCCCATGGCCTTTTTTTTTTTCCAGCAGCCAACAAGACCACCCCACCCTCCCGCCTTGAGCTTTCCGCTCTACCTCCCTTCCTGGGCTGGCCCGGCTTGGGCAGTAATCCCATTGCCGCCAGACTGCCTGCTCGCGCCTCAAGCGCCTCTGCACCACAGCCGCTGCCATCCCGGCTCCGCGTGTCAGTGCCGCCCCCGACCTCCTGCCCCGTGCGCGCCTGGCGCAAGCTCCGCCGAACTGCGCCCGCTCTCCTCACGATGTGGGCGTGTCGGCCCGCTCCTCGGCCTCATTTTAAAGGGAGCCGAACCCCCCGCGCGCAGCCCTACTGCTCCCCGCTCTCTTCTTCGCGTTCGCTAGGCACCGAGGAAGCCCCAGCAACCGCCACGCCGAGGTCGCCGGTTCCGCTGTCCGCCCTCCGCGCGAACCACCATCCCCGAGACGCCTCCGCTCCGAATTTCGCCGCTGTGAGCTTCGCCGTTCTCCCCTCTCTCCTCCGTGCATTTTATTTCACGTTTCATGGCTTCTAGAGCCTTAGCCACATGGGCCCGTGTGCTCCTTGCCGCCGACCATGGCGACCGTCGCCTCAGCCGCGCCCTCCGGCCGCCTTCTTGGCCTGGACGGGTTCGCGAGAACCCCCTCCATCTCCCGGTGCCTTCGGTTATTCGAACCGTGGCCCGTAGGCCCCTATCCGTGAGCGCTAGTGACCTCCACGCCGCCGGCCATGGAGCTTGCCGTCGGCGTCACTGTGCCGGCCGGGCCTCCCTTCTCTTCCTTCCCCAAGCCGATCCAAGCCGTCCATTTTCAGATCTGCGGCCGGGATTAGAAGTTACCCCTTCGCGTGTAAATATGCTAAAGAGTCCCTCGGTTTCGGATGAATTGAACCCGCAGTCCCTAGCGTAGTTCCCAGAGTACGCTTTCTCGTTTTGAAAACGTAAAGTGCACTGTTTTAGTTCAAAATACGTTTTCAGTATTTATAGAAATGCCACTAGATTTGTTTTGCTCATAAAAACTTCGTTTTAGCTCCGAATCGACCCGTTCAACTTGCGTTAGTTTCGTAATTTCGTAATCTACGTGTTAGTACCACTGTTAACCATGTTTGCAACTATTAGATTTCATGGTTAGGTTTAATTAAATAAATTGCTATAGGAAACCCCGTTTAATTCATAACTTTCGCGTTTTAGCTCCGTTTTTTGTGAACTTCGCGTTGACGTGATCGTAGCGAGACATAGATTATTTTCATAAACATTTTATCTTATTTTCTTTACTGTTGGTGTACTATTCTAACCATAGGACTGTTTGCTTTGCATGAATGTTCCTGGAATGTTGTATGTTGCCGTGTTGGTCGTGTTCAGACGGTGAGGAGAACGTTGGAGACCAAGAGTTCTTCGACGACCAGCAGAACCAGTAGGATTTTGCTAACCAAGGCAAGTATAGCATGGGATCTACCTTGATGCCTATTCACCTTTATTAATTACTCATTTGCATGTATCTAATTTTGATACCCGTAAGGACATCCTAGTGATTGATTATCCTGTTCCTTGTCTCCTATGGGTTATATGCATATGGGTAGTTTGCTAGTGCTCAACATAACTATACATGAGCTACATATTGAACAACGATTTTATGGAAAGAAAAGGTAAAAGTTGCTTTTAAACAACTGGATTATAGGGCGATGGAGCAAATGACTTTCGATCATGATGCTCTCGGCCCTCCATAAGGACTTATCTGTTGGCAAAAGCTGGGACTAATAGTGCAACCATGAGGGTCATATGGCTCTGACTTTAGCTCAGTAATAGGACCTTTTCTAGCTTGTTAGAGGTTACCTTTATGGCGCAAAAGGGGCTTGCCACGTTGGGTATAGGACTGCTTCTGTTCCTATGTGTATAGCCGCGATGGATATGTGCCATAGGAAAGGGGGGTTCCTACATCTACCTGCCAAGGAAACCTAGCGGCCCTAACTTGTTAGAGAAACCTATGAAATGGCTTCATAGTGTACCCTGCCCGCTCACCTTGGCAGTGATATGGGAGTAATTAACCCGGGCATATGGGAATCACGACTTGCGGTGAATGTGCACCACCTCTGCAGAGGGTAACAAACTGTTATAACAGCCGTGCTCACGGTCACGAGTGGCCCAGAAAACTCACAGAATAGATGGCTACTTATAATGTTGTTTATACGAGATGATTATGATGATATTATGATGATGTTACATGACTCAATTGGATCGGATATATGATCATGTGGGTTTAAATGGGAGCTTAAGCATAACTTGATAATAACTGATGATAAAATCTTGACTTACTAAAAGTGCTAACTGCAGTAAACCAGTGTCATCCTTTTTGAGCCTCATGAACCCCATGTTGTCTTGTTAAGTACGGGAAGTACTTACGCTTGTTTATTTTATATATTTGGATAAAAATCCCGGATGAGTAACAGATGACAACGG